CCCAAATATGATTGGCCACACTAGTACAACGTCGTCCTTGCAAAATAGTCGTGTACGTCCGTGAAATTTGACACCCAAGTCCGAACTCAATTCCACGATCAATTTCGCTCAAATGCGATTTTAGCGTCTCTCACTAACGGGCGGATGTTTAGGGGTTACGCATATCGACCTAGGGTTACTCGAGTCGTGACGGTCTCGATTTCTAAGAGAACACGAGGATTTTATCACTAGTTCCGGAGGTCGCGATCGTTCGGAATAAGTTCGAGATTGTTCGCCACGCATACTCTCGTTCGTGCGGAATCACCCGCGTTCCGATCGTACATCATTGGCCAAACCAAATCTGTCACCCTCCTTGGATCGGCCCACATTGGCCAAAAATATTTCTTCGTCGTTTCTCGGAATCAGACTCGATTCGCGGTTGAGTTTTTGGGTCTACGTACCGTTTTCCTAGTTAGCCATTCCCTATTGGTCAGTATCCCGAGAATGATCAGTTCCGGACGAGACTTACTAAAACGAAATGAGAAATAACCATCCATTTCATTGATCACAAAAGTGGATCGAATTCAGGATGTTACATTTTCATTATAGAGTGTTTGATCATTTATTTGTCGTCATTGATTATTGTCGGGTTGAACAATAATATTAGGATCAATAACTTTAGACTTGACGGTTTATTCGACTCCACTACGTTGGTGGTTGTTTCGACCCCACTATGTTGACAATTACTTCTTCGATAGTTGTATTCATGATTGTCGACTCCACTTTTTGTCGATTCCTTCAAGATGGCAATTCTTCACTGAAGTGTCTATCAATTTCCACATCCTGACCAGTCGCAACCGTCGACTTCCTTTTAACGACGACAGCTCTATAGTGATTTTCTGAGAAAACTCAACACATAAAAGTTGTAGATCCAGGAGTCTTCGTTCTTTTGGCTTTGGACCCAGGTCAATCCAATCTGTCTCGACGAAGTTATGACTATTTTCCCAAACTAGTGCAGAACTGAAATTTCCACATCCTGACTAATCGCAACCGTCGACTTCCTTTTAAAATCGACAGCTCTATAGTGATTTTTGAGAAAACTCAAAACATAAAAGTTGTAGATCCAGGAGTCTTCGTTCTTTTGGCTTTGGACCCAAGTTAATCCGATCTGTCTTGACGAAGTTATGACTATTTTCCCGAACTAGAGCAAAACTGAAATTTCCTCGACGAAGTTATGACTGGTCTTGTCAATAATACCCAAAAATTAGTCATCTTTGGGTGTAAACATATACACAAGACATGTGTCCCTTATGTTGGCAACTTGATGATATTTGCTTCCACGTTGCCTTAAGTATCCACCATATGTCCCTTGATGATCTTTGATACAAACACTCATCGACCATAACTGAACCATGTTGACAAGTTGGCCATTTTTTTATGTGTCTACAATCTGCCCAAAGATCGAGAGGCATTTCCAGTTTTATATGCCGAGAAATAGTGAGAGCAGGATCATAATCTCTTAATTTGTGGTTTCAAGAAAATTGAAAAATGGAAATGTTGCAAACATGCAAATAAAAACGGGACTCACTAGTAGTAATCCTAAAGGATAAGTTTTGAGGGGCTGATTCCAAAAAAAAAAACACAAACTTGAGGTCGAGTGACCATTATGGTCCCAACTTTTTTTTGTCTCATAAAAAAACACCAGCTTTAGGTCGAGTGACAATTATAGCCCCAATTTTTTTATCTCATAAAAAAGTCATCAACTTTTACCCTTATCCCAAATCTAGCCCCCCGTTGACTCTCTCTCTGAAGTCACCCTTGTTTGAGAAAAAAGGTTATGGTTGTGAGCTTGGCGGATCTCGCCCATGGCGTTTGTCGACGGGCTGTGGTCTACAACTTCAGATTATGACAAAACAACGAAGTCTGATTAGAGATATTCAATTTGGAGATCTTTTTTACTTGCCAGTGAAGTGAATGAGACGAACAGTTTCGCCATTATTCTTCAAGACGTGACTTAGAGAAGAAGACAGTGAATAGTGCTTTAAATCCACTCAGCAAGCCACGTGGATTTATTGCTGAGGTGGAATAGTCAAGTTGGATAATAAATGGTTCTAAGTTAAGGGGTCCAGATTTAGGATTTAAATAAAAGTTGGTGAATTTTTACGAAATAAAAAAAAATTAGAGTCAGAATTGTCACTCGACCTAAAATTTGTGTTCTGTTTTTTAATTAGGCCAAGTTTTGAGTGCTAGTGTAAAGTTATACGGTGGAGATAACTGGTTCTCGTGGACTGTGGAGCATCACTGATGTCGCTGTCGTTGTCTTGTCAATGCCAACAAAAAGAACACATGAGAAAATGCCATTCACGTGGAATGAGCTTTTCCAAATAAATATCTTTTCATCTCAATAATTTGGATTGTGATATTGCGAAACTGTCCCCCCAGCAACAATTTCCTCCGAGGGAGTTTTGCTTCATCGTTTTAGTAATTTTATGTCAGTTAAGTGAAACATTGATTCTTCCATCAATACTATGTTATGTGAAGTGAACAGAACCTCGTAAAGGGGTTACAATATTTTTCTTTCTCTTCGTTAAGATGGTCTTTGGACCTCAGCAAGTCCTAAATTTATTTTGTCTGAACTCTTAGTGTTAAATTCGGAGGTATTCCCTAGAGAGAGGGAAGAAATAACTATCTCTCCAATTAGGAGTCTGAGGAACGTAGTCCTGTCAATCCGCTAGGTGTATACTCATAGACAAGTGGGGCCGACCCAATCGGAAGCTTAGGCTTCCCCTGCTTTGGTGAGATACCATCGGTAACTACTATCAAGGATCAAAGATCTCAATTAATTATTTATAATATCATGTTAATAAATGAATGCGTAAATTACTCATCCTATTTTATCTCTCAAGTACTTAAATTTTAATTTGAGTCTTCTCTATTTTTTAAATAGACTTGCCAAATAAAGTTAAAACCTTAAAAACTTTTCTCTTTTCATGTATATGTGTACAAATTCTTTCATATTGTTTCGATAATTTCTTTCCATAAAGTTCTAGCAAAAAAAACCTGTAATATTACAAAATCCTTTAAATTTCGATTTTTTGCATCCATACAATGTGTAGTTTGTGCAAAAGAGATCTCAACATGGATTAAGCAGTGAGCGAATATTCATCTAATACACACATTAAAGTTTTCACTATCTTAATTTGCCGACGGGCTGTGCTTGCTAATGTTCTTTTTGGGAAGATAAACAGTGCATCAAATCCGATTGAACCAAAGCTTTTGGTTCTTTTTTTCTTTTTTTTTCCCTTGGTTTGGTCTGTCAATTATAGTTAATAATCTCAACTTGATTTAATTATGTAGCCCTAAGCTAGTGTGCCCGTTTGAGTCAATTCCCATTTTTTTATATCTTTATCTTAGGAAAGACCTTATTGAATATGTTTTTTCTTGCGCAATCAAAATCTCAAGTCCTTTTCAAACCCGTCGGCGAATTGATGCTGTTCAACAGTTGATTTCACGCGTTAATCATGATTAACAAAGTCGTAAACGACGTAATTGCAACACGCAACATTCAATTAGTGCTAACCACCTGTTTCCAAAACCGACGAGCCGTCTTGACTCCCCACGCGTAAGTGGCTCTTACGATGGTCCAAAAGCTCATGTGCTCAGATCATTAAATTTACTAATATTATCAACCAGATTGGTCAACTTCCCCACTTTTTCTCATTTCTTGATGACAATGAAGCGTTTCCCTAGGGTTGACATTGTTCGAATTATGGGTGTCACATTTAGGAGAAATTCTTTTTGAAGGATCCTATCATCGATCCACTTACATAACTAGTTAAAAGAGTACCAACATGCTAAGTGGATTTTCTATGTGAAAGACATTCAAAATGCACTGAATTTTCACTTCGTAATTGGTAGGATCAATGAGTTATGTGGTCATTTTCACTTCGATGATACTAGCTCAAGATCCATTATGAACTTTTCGATTTTTATGTGTCGTCTTTAATTTCATTAGCAAAAGCATCTTCACTAATTGGATAGAAGTGCTTATTTTGTTTACAAGTTTGGGAAGATTAGACAAACCGAAACTCGAAGATTAACTTTGGGAAGTATAAATCCATAATCAACAATTGAAAAAGATTGTTTATCCTTAATCTAATGCATAAAATTGGTGCTAGTCGTAATTGAATCCATTAGAAACCCTAGCACACCAATTATCCAAGTTGACGCTAATTCGATTCTGCTTGCGCAAATGGTCCAAGAACCCTAGCCCTAAACTTCCCCTGTTTTTCCCCAATTTGATTCTTAGAAAAGCACGGTAGAAAGAAAATAGCATCATTTGCATGGATATTATCGTTGTATCCTTAAAAAAGAGAGACAAAAAAGGACGTTTCTTGGACGTCATTCTTTGCACCATCGTCCTAAGCAGACCTGAGAGACGTCCATCGTCACATCAGGTCCCTTCGTCTGGCGTCGGTGCCTATTATGGAGGAAAGTTTTAAGAGAAGATATTTTTGAATTATTGGTACGAGTTTGGGGTATCCGTGAAACGGAAAAAAAAAAGTTTTAGAGTATTAGTGTCTCACAGGGAAAACTTTAAGATTAGTTATGAGATCATCCCTTGATGTTATGGTACGCATATTTTTTTTATAGTGTAAAGTGCCAATTCTGTTTGTAATCAAATCCTATTTGCTTGGAAGCCCAAAAAGAGGACAAAGTAAAAGGGCGTCCTCGAACTTCTGCGTGACCTTCCAAACAAACAAAAGGAAATAAACAAGTTCAACTGTGTTCACGTTTTCTTTCAGGGCAGAAATGGGGCCAACAGGTCAAACCGTGTATGTCCAGGCTGGTCTTCTCCTCCTGTGTCGTTTTCTTACATTATGGAGCTTGTCTTTTCATTTTCCAAATGCATAATTCATACAGTAAATGTATTTTTAATTTCAAGATCCCAGCTCACGGAAGTTTCCATATCCAGCAGCAGCCGCAGCTGACTGCCAACATCTCTGCGTCCTTCGTCCTCTATAAAGGCCACCTCTCCTTCTCCATTTCTCTGCACATCGAATTCACATATCTACAACAAGAGATACCCACATAGACACACAGACATAAACACTCTCTCTCTCTCTCTCTCTCTCTCTCTCTCTCTCTCTCAGATACTCTCATTTCAAGACTCAGACAGACTCAAATAGTCACAAACAGGTTTCTTGGCTCGAAAATGAAGGCAACTTCAGAGAAAAGGTACGCCCTTCTGCTCGCAGCAAGAGACTCGGACTACGTGAAGAAAGTCTACGGCGGGTACTTCAACGTATTCGTCGCGGCCTTCGGGGAGGAAGGCGAGAGGTGGGACCTTTACAGGGTCGTGGATGGGGAGTTCCCGGACATGGACGAGCTCCACAAGTACGACGGCTTCGTCGTCAGTGGGAGCCCTTATGACGCCTATGGCAACGACTACTGGATCCTCAAGCTCTGCTTCCTCTTGGAAACTCTCGATGCCATGGACAAGAAGATCCTCGGGATATGCTTCGGCCACCAGGTAGATGCATGTGATGAATACAGAACTAGAACCCGTTAATCCCAATTGAATCTTGATTGCATTGAAGCCAAATATTCTCGTGTAGTCATCTGTGTCAGTAGCTGAAGTGGGGCTTTCTTGAATGGGTTTCTGTTGCAGGTGCTGTGCAGAGCATTGGGTGGCAAAGTTGGGAAAGCACACACAGGGTGGGACATTGGGCTGAGGAAGGTGAGGATTGTGAAGGATTTGTTCCCATGTGGGTATTTGAATGCGATGGATGATATCCCGCCAGCTCTATCCATTATTGAGTGCCATCAAGATGAGGTCTGGGAGGTCCCAACTGGTGCTGAAGTCATTGCATTCTCCGAAAAAACCGGCATCGAGATGTTCACAGTTCGTGATCGCGTTCTCGGTATTCAGGGCCACCCTGAGTACACCAAAGACATTCTCTTCAATCTCATCGACCGCCTTCTTAACAACGGCTGCATCGAGGTAATTGATCAACCGCATCACTAATGTGAATACCCTTTTTCTTCCTTTTGATGCATCGGCGACAATTTCCATGCTTTGTCCACTAATCTGGTGATACTGTGACTTTTGCAGAAAGGTTTCGCTGAAGATGCCAAGTTCGCTTTAGAGATGACAGAGCCAGATCGAAAATGCTGGGAAAGGATCTGCAGAAACTTTCTCAAGGGAAGATAGAAGTACTGCTTACATTGTAGTTCTTTCATTTTTTTGGTTGAATTTTTGTTTCCTTTTGTGACTCCATTACTGACCAAACGTGGTTAGAAGAAACAATGTACGAGCTCGTTCATAAATTAAAGTATATACGTTTTCCAATGACCGGCTTTTACATATTTGCCAGAACAAATGTTGGCTATTGACATAACTTACTGGTTGTCTACATTTGGATAATCAGCCCAAAGAATACTTCCCCACCGCCACAGTCGGCTATTTATTCCTTATTTCAAAGTAGGTCGACTCTTTACTTCCTCTGTTCTTTATCTAAAGAAAATAAAGATTCAAACTTCTCCCACACTGATTAATCAACATGATGAAATCTTTATGTCAATATATGCCCTGGAAAAGATGTATGTATATCATCAGTTTGAGCAACCCATCTGATTTGTTTACTAATCTAATATGTTGTCCTTCCTAGTTCAACCTTGCAATTCCGATTCTTAGACAATATAAGCAAATCTTTATGCCTTCATGTGGATCTAAGGATATGAACATATTAAATCTAAAAAAGTTTACCCTAGAATCCCAATCCTAAGAATAAGTGAACAAGAAGTAGATAGAAGAATGTAGGTTGGAACCCAAGGGCATTATGCCTTCTGCATAACTTTTTCTCAGGAAGCTTTTCTATGCTAATTTAAAGATATTCACCACCACAAGGTATCAGAATAAATTGGGCAATATCAGAAAATCATGCTGTTCAAGATTAAGTAATAAAAGTAAATCCAGCTACATGTCTCAAACACAATCTACAGATTTCACAATCTATATTAACCCTACAACATGAAAAATGATTCGGCATAGACTAAGAAGCTAAGGTCTTGTCTGTCTTCTGAGCTAAAATGAGCCAGATGAGAGTGATCAACTCTCCACCTCGCGGAAGTTGGTCCGCGCGGTGTGACAATCCACAGTTCTTGGCAGCAAAAAAGAGCATCTCTATCCAGAAACTGTCTATCACCTGCCATTTGTCTCCCCTGTTCCACAACAACCGGGCAAGGCTTTTGAATTCGATATCACGTTCCATTGCAATGTTATTCTCGCATGGGGATCTTGTCTCAAGCAAGGGGGACTTTGTTGAGTAGTCAGAATGCTCCAGGAAAATTCCTTTTCTGTTTTAATTAAAGCTTCCCTTTCCAGGATTGACTTGATCTTAGAGCAAGCATGTGCAAAGACAATATCTCCCATGATGACCGATAACATGTAAGGATGAACAGCTAGAAGGTACACCATATAATCCGAAATCAATTTGCTTCCATAGGGAAAATTGGACGAGTCATCATATTTGTTGCAATGTGCCATACGGCAATGATGGGAATAGTGACTTGAAATCTGGAATGCACTGGAAGTGATGGGAATTACATAAAACAAGGAAGGACAAAGGTGGACTGGGATTCAGGGATTTGATCCCATGTAATGGGGCTATGCTGAGAAAGCAAGCTTGAAGAATAACTAAGACTCTATTAGCACTTTGAAGCCAATTATTAAAAAGGATTTACTTCATACTGATTTCTGGCATGCTGGGAAGGGATATAGATCATCCTGGGGATGGCAGAGTCTACTCATGAGCAGGGAAGCCATCTCAAACTCTTTCATATGGTCAATGGTTAATGGGGAATCTATCAGAATTAGAAAGGATAAGTGGATAGCATTAGGGGTAATTGGAGCTCCGGCAAACCGCAGTGATCATCTGCTTGTGGTTGAATTAATCAATAAAAACAACTCCACTTTGGGATGAACAGACTCTGCGGACCCTATTTGAGGAACAAATTGTGAATGACATAATATCTACTCCCTTACCTACGGAAATGCAGAAGATAGGTTGGTATGGACGGGGACTAAAACAGGATCGTACTCAGTTAGAAATGCGTGCAATCAACTCGGAAAGGATGAAGCAACAACAAGCATACAACAAGCCTCCTCTTCATATGAGGTCCCAAAGCCTTAGGGAGTAAAATCTAAACACTTAAATGTTTCACCCAAACTCAAGATGTTTCTATGGAGTACATGTCAAAATGCACTGCCCGCAAAAGAAAATCTACTCAAGAGGAGGATAGTACTTGACCCACTGCGCCCATTCCGCCAGCAGAACCCCGAAACCCTTGAACATTTATTCCTCCTTTGTTCATGGACTGAAGATATATGGTCGGACGTACTATTACAAATCCAGATTTCAAATCATGGGCTAAATATAATTGATCAATGGCTACTGAACTGCAAAAGTGCACAAAATTATTTGCCATCTCTTGAGCTTGTCACTGTGATGTTATGGCACATTTGGAAAGCTTGGAACAGTTACGTGGTCGGGGGTATCGTACTAGACACGAGAAGTATAATCGCAGCGGCCTTTGAGATGCACAGCAACCTTGTGAAATGGCACTTGAATTCCGCCGCAACCAGGATCTCTGAAAATCGATGGCTTGTATTTGGAAGGAACAACTACAGGTGCCATCTCTTGGGTGCGTCGGGATTCTTCCGGGAAGTTAATTGAAGGTTTCGCTCGCTCGATAAATGTTAGATCAGCTCTCCACGCAGAAACCCAAGCTGTTCTTGAAGCGTTGAGATGTGTTTGTGCACGAGTGGATGAGAGCTTCAGTTTGGACAGGACAACTAAGATCTAAGTCAGAAAGCAAATTACGAAGACCAAAATTGAGCAATACCTAAAAGTTTATCGAATGAATGCATGATTTGTGTTCATAACTTGTACACGTAGGCGCCTCATGCTAATGGTTCTTGAACAAAAGGAGATTTTTTTTAGTAGTTTGCTCTCCTTCTGTTCATTCATAGTCGGATCTAGTAATTGCCCTCATTTTTATCCGTATTTATTCTTAATTATATTGGCTCCTAAAAAAAACAATGACCTTTAGTTTGACGCATCCGAAAGTAAGCAATTTGAGGTTCCGGATGTCTCGCTAAGTTTTCAGTGAAATTAGTCCCCGGTCACGGGTACAAACTTCAATGTGTCTGTCTTGTGAGCTAAAAGCAACCAAACAAGAGTGATCAGCTCCCCGTTGCTCGGCGTGGTACGACAACCGGCAGTTCGCCGCAGCATAACAAAGCATCTCTATCCACACGCTGTTCATGAGCTCCCATCTATCCTGCCTATCCAGCAAATTCCTCGCGAGCCTCTGCGCATCTGATATGAAGTGCCATCCCAACGTCACCAAAGCGTTGTGGTCTTGCCTCGAGCTCGATGACCTGGATCTTTGCTGATCCTTGAAAACGCTCCGAGCTAACTGAGGTTCTGTGGTTTTCAAAGCATTTGAAGATCTTCGGATCTCCTTGACCTGATCGTGGGCATGCCTAAACACAATGCTTGCCGTGGTGGTCGACAACATCTTCGGATGGATGACGAGCAAGTACATCATGTAGTTTGATATCAGCTTGATTCTGGAGTGGCAATCGGGAGATTCATCATCGTTTGAATGGTATTGTCTCTCTGAAGATTTGTTCTTCCGAATGATGGTGGTAGCATATATCGGTCACGATGTGCCATGCGAGAATGCTCTTATCGAATGCTGTCTCGATGCTCCGTCGGATCTCTTCGCCAGTGCCGACACTGTATCTCTCGAAACTCCACTCCCCTCTTTTGCTAAATGGGTGTGTTCGTCGAGCCTTTTCAAAAACCTTCAACTCCTCCCACACTCTCTCCTTCAAGTTCTCAGGGAGGCTCGCAGGTCCCATCCTATTGAGACTCCAGTTCCAGTTAATGTAATCATAAATACCCCAAAAGTTTAGGAACTTGATGTGCCTCGTCCAGTCGCGTCGCAGGCAATAGTGAAGCAGATTGAATTGGTACATCGAGTCCGACCACTGCCTCCACTTATGCGCGGACCTGGGTGCAAAAAATTGCAAGAACATGGGAACTAGCGGCCAATTGGAACGCTTTGACATCTTCACAATTGCCCACTCAGAGTAGGGTAACAGCAGGATCTGGTAAGCCACCAAAAGGAGAGCCAGCATCAGCACACAGAAAGTGAATTTCGTGTACTGGTAAGAGTACACGAAAGCACCGAAGCCCATCTTGCCATTGCGCATGATCACATCTAGATGCAGGATCGACTTCGGCAAAGCATTGAACCTGCATAGGGTGACAACTAGCCAAAAGAAGCTGACAAACCAGATGAACAAGCCCAGCTTCATATAGATTACGGGTGCCTTGGTGTATAGCACGTCGTACATGAATCCTAGCTCGATTTCGGTGATCCTGAAGGCCTCTTGGTGCGAACAATGATCAATTGAGAGTTGGCGATGAGAAATAAATCGGGGATGGTAGATCCAGTCCTCTAGGTGAGGCTTTAAGCAATGAAAACGGTAATAAGCCTTAACAACCAATTCAAGACCGTCGATTTTTGGCAAAGCATCAAGGAACCGAGGAACCATTCCCTCTCCGGCAATTTCTTTTGCAGTGATGCCAGTGTTCAAGCCGAGTGAGAACTTGAGAGCCCATACCCCTTCTACATACTTGATGATACCGGCGAGAAACATCGGGAAGTACAATATTGTGAAACTGGTGTAGTTCCAACATCTGATGAGAATGCCAGCAACAACCGTCACAGTAATGCTCATGTTCAAGACCTGTCTCAGACCCAGTTGATTGTCTTCCATTGAATAAGCAGTGATAGTATCCGGGTAACCAAGTCGTAGCAGAAGCAATGGCGCTAGTATTGCCTTGAGTTTGACAGCCGGGTAGAGGGCGTCAGGTTTTTTAGGATCATCAATCCTCAGTCCAGTGAGCTTTCCTAGAGAGTAAGGCACGACTATAGTGGCCACCAGGTAGGTGCCCCAGAGGAAGGAACGCATGCCGAGTCCAATCAGCCTGGTCACGTGTTTTCAGCGACTCCTGAAGACGGTGAGGATGACTTGGAAGAAGAGGCTCCCAATCACAAGCGCTTAGATTCCCCACGCGTCCCATAAGTTCATCAGGCCCTCTCTTAAAGTAAGTACCCATTGCGGAATCAAATTGTATGACATTCCCATTATAACATATTCCTGATCTTCTCAAGACAATTTCCTGAACCTACTTCAAGAAATCTGGTAAAATTTCTGAAATAAACTTCCACAAAATAACAACACAAATATACTTTTCTTGAAGATCACCCTCTACTTAATTAGTTCTAGAATCTCCTTCCACCACCTTCAGAAAAAGATTTCTCCAACTAGACTACGCGATTTGTATTTCCTCTTGCACCAAGAAGCATCGCAACCACTTCAATGAATAGTACTTGGGGGTATTGTTTGTCGATACATCATCGATTTGAGCCGGTTTCCATAGAAAGTACATTAAAGCTTCAGTCCTCCCACTTGAGGGCCTTAGATAAGGGCTCTGGGGACAGAATAGCAATTCCTATCAAAACACTTTCGATGACAGGCAGCTGCCTGTTGGGTGTAGTCAGCTGGGACGGGCTCTTAATAGTTTAACGGGAAACCTACAGCCGACAGACCACGGCGGAACAAAAGCCAGCTAGCAATGGGATTTGAGGTCTCTAGGGACGAGATTGACTATTGCCTGTTGTGTGCTCTGAGCAGCTTCGAGGCGTGAAGCCATTTTCAGGTAGACTTATCATGAATTTGGAAAGTTTGAGTTATTATGATTCTGCAACTCCATATGCTAGTACTTCAACATGTGTCACACAAGGAGGAAAAGTTAAGACTATCATCAAACTATATTCATCTCATGTCCATCTTGGCTGTCAATTTGATTCCTGAGTATCTACATATAAGAACTATCTCTAGTTGAAATGCCATTCTTCTGTTTTAGTCGTTTCTACGTACTTAATTTTATTTCATTTTTGTTCTGCAACTGTGCTAATTTCATCTTCGTTGCTTCACTTTTTTAGTTAAATTAAATTGGATTCTCATAGTACGTACATTTGGCTGCAGTAATAGTTAAGACCGTAATGCAGAACTCGTCATACTTGTAATTTAGAATGAAGCTGTAATAACTGCTGTGCCACTTGATTTAAATAACAGCATAGCTAATGAGCAATTACTTTGTTTAATTTAACACAGTAATGACAGAGTAATAGGCATAAAAATTATTTTAGTCGAAATTCTACAGGTTCCATGACCCCGAAAACAGGACCAACTGTGAGCGATTAATAATCTTCAATAGGCATAAAAATCATTGTGGCCAGCAACTCGCTAGCCTTTGGGCGAGGGAGGCCCTTGCTCGGCCGCAATGGTCGAACCGTTGCTAGATCCATTGAGGGCAACCCTCAACCAGGCCGCAGGGATCAAGCCCTCACCTGGGTGAGGGTTGCCCTTGTCAGATCTGGCAAGAATTTGAGCCCCATGGCCGAGCAAGGGCCGCCCTAGCTAGATCTAGCGAGGGCTACGACCCTCACCGGCCATAATGAAAAAAATAAAAATTCATAAAAATATTTTTAAATTATAAAATTTGTTCACATCGGCGCCGGTCATACCATGTAGAGTGGCTGATGTCAATGTCAACGATTTCTGATCAAAATTAGCCAGATGGACTATGTTAACAAATCGCAAAAAGATTTAAAACTCAATTGATATAAATAAAAGGTTTAAGACTGAATTAGCACATGTGCAATAGGTTAAAAGTTTTTTTGGACTTTTCCCTAAAAAATATTAGAATCATCGTGAAGAACAAAGAGGGTCATGCATGGCTTTGCAATCTCACAAGGAAGTGGACTTTATTTTATTGAAAATTCAGGGAAAAAACGAATACAGACAATAAGAGAAAAAAAATGGTCCGACCTTATCCCTTATTTACTTATCTTTTCTTGAAGTACAATTTTCGAGCCAAGTCAAGTAGCATTCAAGGTTTGAAAGCACAAAATAGGTATTACCTCTATTGTGGCTTCTTATTCTTTTATTGTGATTTATTATTTATTTATTTTTTTCTAAAGAGAAGCTAAAGAAGAACTGTAACAAATGAATCAAACACAGACCAAGACTCTTCTTTTCTTGTGTCATGGCTTGCTTCCATATTCACAAATTACCTGAAGAGACTACTGATACTGTTTGCCCTAAATGCATGGTAAGATCGCATTTCCACGCATTCGACTCGGATCTTAACCTTAGCCGTCATGCCTCAAGTTCTAGCTTGAACATCGGGTGAGAGACCGAGTTGAGATCGGCGAAAATCATATCATCGCCCTCTGTGCCACAGCTTAAATCATGACACTCGAAGTGCGTCTTTACTTCATCAGGGAAGCTGCTGCACTGAGGCAACTCGGACTCCCATAATGATGATGAACAGTCGACGGCAGATGTCATCTCCATCATCTCCTTGAATTTGGATGACTGAAGCAGCAGCCCTAGGGCTGACGTGGCATTTGCTCGGCGTGGCTGAGTTGGCAATGTTTCTAAACTTTCTATGGGCACATTTGCCTGTTGGTTTTGGAAGTAGCTTATCCCAAGTTGATGAGAGCTTGCAGGTAAACTGGAGCTAGCAAGGCTAAAATTAGGGCTAGGGTTAAGGTCAGGGTTCATGCTTGTTTGACTTTCGCTGCTGTTGTTATTATCATTAGTCCCGGGTTTAAGCCATTTGATGTAACGGCTCAGGTCGAAATTGGTGACAGCGTTGAGTCCACGGTACTCTATAGCCGCCATGTCATATGCAACGGCAGCTTCTTCTTGGGTAGCTGCGAAGTTGAATGAAAAGAAAACATCACAATCATGCGATAGCGAAATTGATGAATGTATGATGACCATTGACCCCCACATTATGCATTCATGCAGAACAAAGTTGTTATTGGTTAAGGTAAGTTTTAACAATTTTTTTCGTGTGAATGAGAAGCTTTCATAGTACTTTTCATCTATCGTCGTTTGTTGCTACCGTATCTTTTTAGCATTTGTTCGGCCAATAGTTTCTTCCTTTTTTTTATTGTTCTTGGGCAAAGAAATTTTCATTATAACCATAAATGAGTGATTTTCTTTGTTTTATCCATGAAACCTATGTGACTCTCATAGTCCTTGATGGGATTTACCATCTTCTGAGCCCTATATTCAATCATTGGCTTTTTAGACACATTCAGTTGACAGCTACCAAACTAACAACAGAATCTCATGTATTTGTTCTATAAGTTAGTTACTCCCTTTGGCCAACTGTTGGAAAGGATATCTCCCTGTGTCTGTTTCTGTGTATATTATAGTGGAAAGACTACTCTTTGACTGGTTATCACGTATAAATCTCTTTAGAAAGCAAAAGTCTCTTGTCTTTTCCATCGTCTGCGGATAAGATATGAATTGCTTTAAGATTTTCTACTAGGAAACAAGAAGCAACACTTATGTCCTAACTGTTAAATTAAGAAGCTTGGACACAGTCAAATTAGTATGTAAGAAAGAGACGCTAAACGAAACGCATAGATGCCTGGCCTCTTTCGATTGGCATTTACTCAATGGTCTACTGAACTGAGAAAGAAACAAGCTGCTAATAGTCCAAAATTTGTTTCCTTTTGTCCTTTAATCCTTAAGCAGTATGATGAGATGAAGTAGATGCATATAGCAATGCTATATACTACAGGAGCAAGAGGAGATGGCAAAGTACCATATGTTCCGAGGTAGAGGTATTTATTTCCGAAAACTCTGCCGATCCGAGCTTCCCATCTTCCATTGTGATGATGTCTACTCATTCATACATTAAAAGTTAATATCAATTTCAACATAATGTAGATCAGTACTCACAAATTACTAAGAGCGTGCAATTTAGAAGATTGTGAAGATCTCTGATGACTATCAATGTAAAGAAAGGGCGGATTCCTGATCTTTGTTAGAGTAGATCAGATGCTTAAGTACCTCGCAACACCTCTGTATTTTGAAACTCCACGAGAGAAACCGTTGCTTTTCCTGCAATTTTAAACCCATAATTTAATGACTGTCATACTCCAAAGAATGCCTCAAAGTGGTAGATCCGTACTTCATTCATAATTGGTAAAATGTTTAAACCTCAATGCATGCAAATGTGACCTGTACCTTCTCAATGTACCGATGTACTCTTCACGAGACTGTCCCTCCATTTCTTTCAGTTCCTTCTCATACGTGGACAGCTGCATTGTAATCTTACTTAAGTTTCTGTAATCTTTTCTCACAAAGTGTGATCGTGCACATTTGTAGAGTGACAAATGACAAAAAAATACCGGAAAATTGAGAATGGTTCCTTCACCCCAGTATTTCAGTGCAGCTCGGTCATAAGCATGGGCAGCTGCTTCTTCATCATCATAAGCGCCTGCAAAGATCACATGAAGCATATATACTGAATGAGATTAACACCATTTGACATGCGAAGTGAATGTAGAAAATTGTTGCAACCTTTCTTGGGTATGTAAATATCAGTATTTCTTTCAATATTCCTAATTCTGTCTTCCCGAGGCAAATGTGTGTGAAAGAGAGTAGAAAAGGAGATCGCGAAACATACCAAGATAAACTGCATTTGCAACCAGATTCCGCAAAAAACAAATGAACCGGCCATGAGAAAAAGAGAGAACACGTCAGTAGCATGAAAAATTACGAGCTTCACAAGTTCAAGAAAAGGAAAGAAATTAGATGGCTTTGATAAATGAAAATGAGCAAATTCCTTGGCGTCCTTTCTTGTTCTGCGATTCATTCCAGCAATTTTTGTCCCACAAATGTGCTTCATATCTTCCTGTCCAACGATGCCTAAAACAAGCATCATAACATGCACACAACAAGCATTATAAAATGCACACTATTTCAAGATAAATGCCTAGGAGGAAAAAAAAGATCGAGAGAGAAATATTGCAAGGGAAATAAGGAGAGGTGTTTCACACACCTAGTTACTCCACGATAGATCGAGCTACGTTGAGGAG